CATGCAACTCACACTACAGAATGCATTATATGAATCTAAAAGAGAAATAAATAATTACATCTTCTCTCCTGGGATGTTTCCCATTTACCGAAGTATATTTTTATTATAGTATCGTTATGATGACATTACTTTAATATAATTATGAAAGTATCACGTTAAATCAATTTTCACATTTTCTAATATATGACTGTGTAACAATTAAATAAAATGAAACGTACCAAAAGTCACCGCTTATTCCCGGTGAAAATCAATATTTTTTGCAGATATGATCGATTATAAGGTAGCAATGGAAGGTATCATTGGTACATCAACTGTTATCACAGATCTCAAACCTGCTTTTTATTCCTTTCGTATTTATGCCTTTAATGAATATTTCAAGGGTAAAATTGGACCAGTAGTTGACATTGACTTAAATCTGGCTTCTTTACAATCTTTGTCATCAATTACTTACACCGGTGATATTAATGCTGAGGTGACAATTCATTTTTCCTGTCCTTTCTTATTTACAACTAACTAATATCTTACTTATTTACTTATTTATAATAATTAAATAGAACAAGATTTATTTATTTAATGTTTGGAAATATTAAATTACGTGTAAATTCACATTTTTCACCTATATAAGCCATTTTTCCGCGCGAAAAAGATCAAGACTATCAAGATTAACTTTCCATTTGTTTTATTATCATTAACTTTTCACTTGATATTATTATCACTTAACAATTTGTTAAGATGGAATATATTGATGAAAAAACATACGCCGAAATTTATTCCACTGCTCGTATAATATACAAGGGAAGATTTGCTTACATGAAAGAAATAATACGTAAAAGTGACAACAAACACTATGCAGCAAAATGTTTCATACGTGAATTTACACGTACTGAAAACGAATGGGAAAATATTGAACGTGAAATAGGTATTATGCAATGCATTCGACATCGTAATATTGTTGCTTATCATGGAGCTGTTAAAATGAACAATCAGCTAATTATGATTATGCAGTGGTAAGATGTTTGAATTAGTTATCATTTTAGCGAGAGCTTTCCCAGAAAGTGTTACAAGCAGTATTATTGATGACAATAAAATAAATTATCTATAAAATCAATCCGAAACGGTTTTACAGCAAATTTATTGCCAGTAAGAATAGGTATATATATAAGTGTGTGTATATATATCTATACTACGTGAAGTAGTTCTATTAAAAAATTTACTGGGAAGTTACAATAAAACATATTCCGTTGACATTGAAAACTTAGAAAATCTCGAAATATATGAAATATTTTTGTCGGAATATTCGATCTATTTGGATTTGGATGATATTTTACTTATTCATTGACAGAAATGACAAAAATATTTCATATATAATTCATTGACAGAGACAGAAACGAAAAAAAAAATAAAGTAATCCGATTCATATGAGCATTTCAAAGGATTTCATTGCATTTATGCTTTTATGATTATTTGTTTTTATAACTTCCTGTGGTTTACCGGTTATTTAATTTTACAATTATCCGATAAATGGTTGTTTGAATCATTGAGCAATCAGAATAAACTAACAAATGATTAATAGGTTAAATGGTCCACATTTATTAGACTATGTAATACGTTTGGGATATATATCTGAAGTATTAATTCAACGATTCTGTAAAGATCTTCTGTTAGCATTGGAATATCTTCATTCCCTTCAAATTGCTCATCTTGCTATTGAGGTATAATTAAATCAAGTTTCTTCTACGATTTTTTTTTCCATCTTAAGTGAAATTTCGAAATATTAAATTTTGAAAAAATTCGTTTTTTTTTTTAATTATTTTTATTATAGCCGGAGAATTTATTAATGCACATAAGTAATGTTGTACGACTTGTGGTAATCGATTTTGGTTTAAGTCGACGCTGCAACGAAGAAACAATTGTTTGGACTTATGGCACAATTGATTTTGCATCACCGGAACAAATTTCCCATCGTGAAATTACAACAAAATCAGATATGTGGTAATTAATTAATCATTAATTTGATATCATTAACTTTTACTGCTTCAATTAGCCTGATTATGCATACATTACGTTTATCAACAAAATTCCCTTTGAAGTATGAAAAAATTAAATATTTAGTGACAGCAAGTTAATTGTTATCATCCAATCAACAGATATTATCGGTAATCATTCTCACCAATTTTTACACCTTTTAATGATTTCTATTTAGGTTAAGCAATATTTATCAAACTGTTGCAATTTCAAATATTGATTTTTAAAGTTTCAATTTTCGTTTAAAAGAATTTAAATTTCACTAATCGATAGGAGTTTTGGAATTGTGCTATATACATTAACAGCCGGTCGAATACCATTCGATGATGAATATCATGAAGTGACACGATTAAAAATTCTTTCAAACATTTCAACAGTTGGTGAGACACGAAATTATCGGATTTGTTCGCAAGCAATTATTACATTATTGGAATCGGTAATTATTGGTGATGCCAGGTAATGAATAATTCATTGTCATTTAAATCACTACCCATTAAAGTTTACAATTTAATTTTTGGCATTTCTAATTTCAATTTTTAAATTTTTTTCCAATTTCAAATAACTGAAATGGATTAACAAAAATTAAAATGGATGAAATGGAAATTGGGGATTTAATTAGAATTAACATCCAATTAGTGAGCAAAAGTATCACCTTCTACCAATTAGTACTATCATATATTTGAATTTACAGAACTCGACTGTCAGCAGCAGAATGTTTGAAAAGCGAGTGGATGCAGAGTGTTTGTTTTTGAATTTATGAATCGAAATTAAAATTTTTTGAATTAAAAATAGAAGATCTCATTTATTAGGTTTGGTAGGTCAATTATTCAAATATTAAATACGACCACTTGATCATTAGAAAGAAAATATAAAATCAACAAGATGATGAAGAGCAAATACCGATGTTTTGGGATTTCTCGATATAACTCGTGATCTTTCCTTAATAATTTTCGAATAAACTACATACTGGACCAAAAATAAAATTGAATTTTAATTCAGACAGAATTAAATGTAATTTAAAAAATGATTCAAACAAATTTTTTCTTTAATATTATCAGTTCGAGTTTTTTTTTTCAGTTATTAAAATCTTTCTTTCTATCAATCTAAATTACTTATAGCAAGGAAGTGAAGAACTTTTTCTCGTTGATTATTTGGAGGATTACAAGGAACGACGAAAGGAGCAACTTCAAAAGACTAGTAATTTATTTGGATATTGTGGAAATATGTTTAACTGTTGAATTGTATACTTATGGTAAGGGAAAGATTGGAAAAATGTGAATAAATTTTTATATTTTAATTCAGTATTTCCATCTCACGAAAAAAAATTAATTACAGAATAGAATCAAAGAATTATTCCTGATGGATTAATTGGACGATTACAACGAATGACATGAAGCAAACACTGAAATATTAATGATTTTCTTGCTCGAGGATTGTTGTGAAACATGGAGAAGTTATTCCAACCGTATAAAATAAATTTATGTTTACCCATTCATACTTTTCTTTAGAAAAAAAGAATGAAAATAAAAATGTCAACATTCTTTGATTTTAGTTTTTCATTTCATGAAATAATTAATGCTCATCAAATATGTATCACTAATTAATGCTCATCGAATGAATATCACTGAGTACCATTATAAAGAAAAACAAGTACGAAAAAATGTGTAGAAGATAGTGGACAGTATTGGGTTTAAGCTGAAAATATCTCTGGTAAATGTCATACTGCCGCTTGGATTACGATAATTGTACCACCCGGTATTACTCACATCACAGCATGTAAAGCAATTAATCGAAATAGTGTTTTGCTGCAGTGGAAAAATCCACGAAAGGGTAATGCGAAAAACATCTACTATGTTGTGGAATACAAACGAATAGGTAAAATTTTAAACTCTGATTATGTTATGAGTTATTCTTAATTAATTACTTCCTAATTAAGTCCTTATTAATTTACTTATTTACTTTTAGTTTCTTCTCATGCTATTTCTTTTCTTTTTTTTTGTTGATTTTGATTCTTTCATTACTTGGCTTATATTTGTTGGGTCATTTTTTTCTTTGCTGAATCTTTTTTTTCCAAAATATAATCCGGTAATATTTTGCTGCATTATATAAACGGATAATACTTTATTATCAGTATTCATGCAACTCACACTACAGAATGCATTATATGAATCTAAAAGAGAAATAAAATAATTACATCTTCTCTCCTGGGATGTT